ATGTATGTATAATCCATTGCCACTGAGTGTATTTCAACTCATAGCGACTCTACAGGACAGAGTAAAACTGTCCCATAGGGTTTCCAAGGCTGTAAATCTTCATGAAAGCAGACTGCAATATCTCTCTCCCACAGGGCAGCTGGTGGGTTTGAACTGCCGACCTCTCGATTAACAGCCATAGGCTTTAACCACTGTGCCACCAGGGCATATAGATGGATTTGAAGCATAGATAATATTGAGAACAAGCCACAGGAAAATGCAGAGAGATATATGATCTTTTCCCCCCTCTCCACATGCAGCGAGAATGCTGCTCAAGGAGACAGGTTATACATTGACTCTATACGGCCTAACTTATTAGCAGCAGCAGAGAGAGAGAGAGAGAGAGAGAGAGAGAGAGAGAGAGAGAGAGAAGCATGCTGAATTGTATGACTTCAGGAGAAATGAGAAAGAAAATCCTTTTAAAAGATTATCTGAGGTCTAAGTGAAATACCCTTCCTATTCTCCTTTATTTTCTTCTCCTCTTGCCAGTCTGAAAGAAGATATATATTTCACCTGACTCCTGTGGGCATTCTTGTGTAAAGTCAAGCCTCACTGGACAAAAGGCAAAAAAACAAAAAACAAACAAACAAAAAAAAAAACCCACATTATCTTCCAAACCAAAGTAGCTGCCAGGAAGAGGCTAATTACCATTATTTCATTTATTTTAATGTTTTGTCTTTCACCCAGAATAATGATACAGTACAACCACGATGAATCATAACCCTCTCAACTTAAACTCTTTTTAAAAATTATGTTTTTATTTGTTTGTTGTTGGGAACTTCAACATTTTGAAAAAGCAAATTCTGAGAGATGCCATTTATAAACCAAGTTAGACTTTGGGTTTGGCACAGTCATTCTAATCTTTTAGAATTTCTACCATGGGTTCCTACAGTGGTTCCTCAAATCCTCCCAGATTCTCACTTAGAAAAGAGTAAATCCATGATGCCCAAAGGCACTACTTACAAAGGCAAGAAAGCAGTCTCAGAGATGCTACACTGTTAGCAAAAAGTAAAACCAAGATATAGGTTTGACTTGGGTACGCAGAAAATCCAGACTATTCCCCTCATGCATACACATTTCCAAAGCATTCTAGCTCATAGCAGATTGGCTAAGAATTGAAACAGTGTCCCATCTGTACTTTGCATGGCCGTGGAGCCCAAATTATAAGACATTTGACCAAAGTAAAATGGCTGATCCAGGTCTGGTCTCTTACCCTTCTTAACTTCTGCTTCTTGCCTGTGGGTTGTTAATCTGTACACAGACCCAAGCTGTAACTAAGGAGAAAGTTCACCCTGTGGTTAGTCAAGATTGTTGTTGTTGTTGTTGTTGTTATGTGCCTAGGAGTAGGACCTGACTCAGTAGCAACCCCTCCTTGGGTTTCTGAGGTGCCCAACCTTCCTTCCCAGGAGTGGCTGGTGGGTTTCAACCGTCAGCCTTCTGGTTAGCAGTCAAGTGCCTTAGGCAATATACTACCAGAGTTCCTTAGTCAAGATACAGGGTACCAACAGGTCACCAGCATATCCAATTAGGACTTTTGATAAACCCACCAGCCATTCCTCGGAAGGAAGATGGGGCAATCTACTTCCGTAGTGATACTGCCTCGG